CTTCGCGAGCCGTCAATCTCTCGGCGTAATACCAGCAACGTAACGAGCAGGCACAAAGATGAAAGGAACAACGACCATGGGAGCCTTTCGGTGAATCCATCGGGAACGATGGAGCCGATGTTACCGGTCGAACACAGCCAACGACCGCCGATACCACCGCAACGATGTCGAGAAGAGGACGTCGACGACAATAGCCCCTCGTGCTCGATGAAGCAACGGTGACAGCGATGGCGAGGCTGACGCCGCTGGTGCTGGCAAACGACAATGGCGATGACGGTCATCACCGCGGCGCCATCTCCTATGAATGGCCGGCTGCCGATCGACCAAATTGATTTTCTCGCTCGATAGGCGAAGGACAGCCTTCGATCGAATTACATGGGACTCACGACCGATTCGTCGCTTTTCTTGCAACGCTTGCCGACGCGGGATATCGCACATCGTTAACCTTACCTCCGTACATGGTTGTCGGCAGCGATCCTGCAATATATTGCAGGGACGTTTCATAGAGAGGAAACAGTAACTGGGTGAGGCTTCCAAAATTAAATGAAGCGATTCCGAAGGAAATTTATCTTTTCATGGTCGTCGTTGATCGTCTGTCGCGAAGGACTTTTGTACGACGAGTCTTCTTTCCGGAAGCAGCAGTTTATTTCGAGTTCTCTCCGTGAAAATCGATAACAGGTTTATAACACATGGAACATATTGTAGAAATAGAGATTAATATTTTTATATATTGAGAGCCTTAAGAGCGTTGGAAATGTATCTATCGTAGAACAGCAAGCAACTGTAATATCACGTGGAATATGTTTCGAAAATATCAGCTGCGAACAATTTACACTTTCAACCCTGCCTTGAAAATTTATAGAATCTTCGAGCCTGGAATATATACGTTTGAAAAATTTTAATCGTAAACAACTGACTCCTCGAATCTCTCTTTATAAATCTATAAAATCTTCAAGCTCGATATTATCGCACAGAAGTATCGGCCGCTCGGAGCGTTTCACATGGCTGTTCCGAGAAAGTGTTCGAGAATAAAATCGAATATCAAGGGTACAGTAATTTCAATACCGCAAGAGCTTATTACCGAACACATATTACCGGCATCGTCATTATCGAACGCTCTGTGCAATATCCGGCAGCGATAATTATAGATATATCAGATATTCGTAGCGAACAATGCGACGTGGACGTACGAGTTATCGGCTGCCATTCAGCTTTGAGATTCCCGGCAGTAGTATCGATGCGTCACTAGACAGACTCGTTAACGCGATAAAACCCCCCTGTGGCTGCAATTTTATTGAGATTTTTATTCATCCCTCTCGACGTAATCCGAGTCATTAACGAATAACGATGTCCCTGAAATCCATAAGCCCGGTCGGTTTATCGCACGGCGTAACCCGTTTCCCAATCGACGATTAACCGAACTGCTATCGACGATTATGTGTATCGGCCCCTCTGACTGTGGAAACAGGTCGGTTTCGTCGGATCCATTTCGTCCCTGTACACACGATGTTTTCGTCCCCGATCAAACTTTCAGTCCGTCGAGTAATCGCATTAGCGGCTGTCAACTCTTCGAAAGAATCACCTTGTATAGTAATAAATTAACCGACAAGAGGCAAACAACGACGATACTCTCGGTTGAATTTATGCTTGGCTCTTCGAATTGCAAACAACAGACATCAATTTAGCGATTCGTCCAGCTTGATCGGGGACAGAGCGATTACTTGAAGTTACTCGAAGGAGGAAATAAATGAAGGGAATAATCGAATATGTTATACGGTCCGTTCCATTCGACGCCATCCTTTCCACGATTCACAACTTGACCAATCGTTTATTCTCTGTGTTTCTCACTGGAAGGTGTCTCCCTTTGTCTATGAAAGCACAATCGTCGGGATATTTTCATCGAGTTACGCAGGCACCGATGTTTCCTGTAAACGCTACAAGCACGCGAATGTTTCTGTTTCGGAGTCGCAACCATATTTCGTTGGATACGATGTTTGCTCGTACCCTCGGCTCGTTTATCGGTTGCGCGTTATGTTGAGCGCGACGAGCTTTATGGCCGTCTCTATTTTATTGGCGCAACACCTAAACGGACAGATAATATTTTGCATCGACCCACAAAACGCCACTACCTTCCATCCATAGGCTTTCTTCCTTATTATCTAATATTCTTTATTTTTTTTTTTCATTCTCGTATTTTCAATTCGTCTTTCAGAATCTTCCGGCTTTCGTTACTTGCAACTGGCATTCCTATCTTTCCTCTCACGCCCCAACGGTCAGGCGTCTCACGTATCTATACAGGGCTTGGATAAAATTTTCAACGAGCTAAAGGTTGGAACTGGAACGGTAGGAATATTCGAAGCTCGCTTTGTCATCGAGTCTAGCAATGGCACAAAGCCGCGCGTGCACAGTGTACACGCTTGTTGCGAAATGTCGTTACATACCTGGTCCCCGTGGTCGCTCGTTACATAGACGACGCTGCAAATAATAGAGCGAAGGACCGAACAATGCCTGAACAATGTATTTATTTTAACAATCGAGCGGGGCTAGCGCGGTCGTTTATCCACGACCCTTCGCGCCACCGGCCGTTCACCCTCGTCGTCGCGTAAACCACTCGAAATAAGCGCGATTGGAAGCGTCCTCGTACGAATCGTTGAAACTGGTTGACCGTTCGTTGAAACAGATTTACAGGAATAAAGCGAAACAATGGGTGGCCTCTCGGCGCAATTGTTATTGTCTGGGACACGTGTTCTCTTATCGCGTATTGAAAAATCCGACGAGAAACAACCACGATTAGAATCGTCGAGTAGGGATCGTTCGTCGAGCGAGAGTATCGTTAAGTCTCGGGAAGAAATTCCGAGCAAAGCGGAGTGTCTTTTAAAACGATCGTTCCGCGGTAAAGAAGCGGTGGAGAAACGGTTTTAATAGCGTGTACCCGTTAACCGAGACCAGGTTGGAATAATAAATCGCGGGAAATATCGCGGACGATTGCAAATTGGTACAAACGAGAGGGATTGTTATGAGGAGAGAAAGAATAAAAATCCGGAGAGGGGTGGAAAGCGGTAATAGGTGGCGCTAGAGAGAAGGAGTCCATTATATATTGCGCGAATATTCATCTTGAAAGTTAACGAACGTGGAGTAGCGTCTCGTTAACGAACAGGAAAACTCTTCTGGTTCAGGCCGGTTCGCCTGACTGGAAAGAAAATATCTTCCTCTTTTTCTCGTCCACCGACCACGTTCGTCTTCGTTTCCCTTCCCCTGCTTTCTCCCCTTGCTTTCTCTTTCTTTCTTCGCAGTCGCTCGAACGTTCACAAAGCGTGTCATTAGTATAAGTTTTTCACGACGAACTGGAACAAATTGAAACGACGCGAACCGGATTTTTATATTCGGTTAAAATAATGAAGCTTCGGCTCGAAACAGTAACGCGAAAGCTCTCGATCACGATCCTCGATATGTTTCTCTCCCACGGCCTGACCGATGATAAAACAGCGACGAAACGGTAGCGATTGTTAGCGTGACCTACCAGACTGAAATTTTAATATCGACCGTTGCTTTTCGTAGGTGTTACATTCACCAACTCGACGAATGCTAGTCGAACATGGTTTCCGTAAATGGACGAGACAACCTTAATAAAATATTCCACGCGCGAAAGGATTAATCATCGACGATTGCCGATTATGAAGCCATGGATTATCGATCCATCGCGGGGCACGCACGTCTGCATTTCTTCGTCCAACTCAATCTTTTTTCAAGCTTCTAACGTCAAGTCGATATGCACGATTGGCGTGATCGATCGATCGAGAAACCTTCTTAAATCGCTCGGTTCTCCTCGCCTTTAACGTGAAATAAGAGAAATAATAGAACGCGCGATGCAAACATAATGACTTTTAAGATATCGTCCCTACACGTCTCTCCGCCACCTTTTCCTCTTTCGCTTACTCGAACTCTGGCAGATTCGATTTTAATATGCAACTCGAGGAAAATTATTAGCGATAAAAGTACGACGCCTACCGGTAACTCAGCCCGGTAAATCACCCCGTTTCCCAACACCCTGCCTTCGCCCAAGGCCTTCACACTGACAAGTGATATTTTCATCGTTCGTAGAGTGACAACGTTCGAGGCAAGATTAATCACCGACGCGTTAAAATGAATTTTTCCCTAAAATATGTGCCACGATGGCACGTGGGCCCGTGTGTAGGCGTTATAAAGTTCGTTTATTGGCACCCTCCCCGTCCCAACCCTCGTTCGTTTCCCGTACGCTCGTTACACCGTTCGACCTCTGCACGATAAGTCATCGGTTGACAAGTAATATTTTTATCGTTTCTGAGAGTGGCATTGTTCGAACGATGATTAATCGTTCCTCGTCCGAGATTGTTATCGATGGAGAGCACTCGGGCACGTTGCGATCGCGATTCGATCGCATAGCACTAGACTGGTAGGTTCTACCAACAAACCTCGTAAACGCGTTAAAATAAATACTTAAATCCTCGAAAATTCCTACCTCAATATTAAGCAGAGATTGCATTCACTAATCGATCGTTTCTGCCGGTCTGTTCCAGGGGAATACTGCAGCAAGGCAGGAAGAATTACGAGGAGGCGATTTTGAGTTATCAGCGAGCGATCCATTTCCGGCCTTCGTTAGCTCGTAAGTATTTCCATTATTTCTCAAGTAACCTTTGCAACAAGAAACGATCGAGTTTCCAATGGAATTCTCGAGTTTCTCGATTTTTTCCACGGACGTGTTCCTCTCGAGCCCTCCCTATACCCATCGAAAGGTACGCAAGGTTGGAAATTGATGTTAATGTTCCGAGGCTCGAATTGGCGAAATATAGTTTGACGCAGCCGGCGTGCACCATTAATGAACCTCGGTCGCAAGTTATCGCAGTTCATTAGGGCACTGAAGCGGCAATTCTCGCGTGAAAAATAGAACGACTCTTCGCGTTTCACTTTGTTCAAGCCGCGAAAGAACCCTATGAAGCACCGTACATTCCGCGAGAACTTGTTCGCTAAATACATGTTTAACAAGAGTTCTTCTCGTCGAACGATTGCGGTAACAACGTGTAACCTACCAAAGTCTTTAGTCATCCGATTCTCTGCTTCAAAGCGATCAAGCCACCAAAAGACAATTATTGTATACTGTTCTTCGAGATTAACAAAACACCGTCTAGTCGACTACGTTATTTACTCGTGCCACTGAAAGTATTGCAGCAAGACATAGCTAGGAGATATAGCTACGTTCATTAGGATGCACAATGCACAAGATCTTTTGTACGAAGGGTGAAACTGTCACTGGCTTTCCTGTTAACACCCTCTGGGAACGTGTCGCGCATTCCCCCCAGGTAAAGTTGACCGTCAACCCCGACGGTAAGCTCCATGGGACGTCACGGTCGAAACTCCATCGAAAAATCTCGTATTTGTTCTTCTTTAGGCGCGTAATCGCGCGTGCTCAAGAATGTCGACGAAAATTTCACGACGGAGAGGGGAAAAAAGAGCGGGTCGGAGCTGACGGTGTTTGCCGTATACTCCGGCGAGAGATATTTACCTCGTAGCTCGCCGATATACTGTTTCCGGTTAAATCGCGGTCCAGAGTCACCGGCTTTCGTCCACGTATCCTCGGCTACGTAAATATTATTCCTATTTATTTCGCAGCGGCTTGCGGTTTCCGTTGTACGACTTCGCTTGCTGATACGGCATTAAACCAGGCAGAAATACCTTCTGAAAATATCAACACCGCTCTCTAAACCAACGAATACTTTCACGACAATGTGGTCGAACGAACTAAAAACCTCGCGACGATCTCTTAAACGTAAACCATCGCGTGATTTTTCGATACACTCTGAACTAATGATTCTTCTACAAAACAAAGAACTCGCGAATCGTTTTCTTATTTCGCTCGTTAATCCCTGAAAGTCGGAAATTGCTCGTATCATAGGATCCATTGGGTTCTCGCTTTGCTCCGTTGGAAAACAATATCCGCGTAATCAGCGCCGATTTTTTGCCACGGTTCTAGCACAAAATCAAAGTACACGCGGTAGGCGTAACCGCAGCAGAGAATCGGGGGACCGATTCGGTTCCTTAACGAGCCACCTTTTGCCCAGGAGAGCGAGGCGGGCTGGAAACGGTGGCGCGGGGTCGGAAAAGAACAGAACGGCCGTCGTTTGTCACGTGGACCGTACGATCCACGTACGACGATTTACTTCGACCGTCCTGGGAATGGTTCATTACCGAGCAAATGCTCCGGCCTGCCGCGATATTGATCTTATTTTACGCTTTCCACTTGCCCGGCTATTTATTATTGCGTCCTACCGGCTCCACCATATTCCTTCGTGTCGACTCGCTCCGACGCTCGTCTCTTGCTCGTTAACGATTACGCCACGCTAACCTCGCGATACCGTCGCCATTTTCTCCCTTTAAAGATTTAATATACGACTAAACGGATTTAATAACTATCAAGTATGAATTACTGCGTTAAGCATCGTGTAGGTCATCAGTGACCAACAATAGAGTTCCAACTCAGACTGCGAGCGCTTTTCCAATAGCATTTGCATAAAATATAAATTCCTTTGTGCAGTTATTCATTCAATTATATCGCCGTATAAAACGACGTAATTAATTTGATTGCAATTACCAACTTTTCTCGAGTTCTACTTTTTATTTGCTCGTTTGAATCGACGTAAGTTACTTTATAGGTTTAGGATATTTATCGCTTTCAAAGTTGAATTATGGATCGGATACAGTTATGAATTTTCAATCGTACGATTGCAGACGCGTATAAAGGTAAGAATAGATTTCATGGAACTTGGTCTAAATTTAGTCTATCAGAGCCGGATAGACGGCATCGTTTCATCGTTCTACAAAGGCTATAAAAAAGCGAGATGGCACTGGGAAGCTCTGGGAAGATCGATTTTAAGTGTTTAGTCAGAGTTATTTCGAAGGCATTTCAACTTTGTTCATAAAACAACGAGCTTCTCGGTATAAGAGAGAGAAAGAAAGAGCAGGCGCGCACGAGGATGGCTTGAATCGTTTAATCAACCGGTTGTTCTATCGGAAACACTTGGCCTCTCGAGGCGACGGGGTTCGTACAACTTGGAAATTCAATCAGTCCCCGTTCACCTAGCTAAAATAAATATATTTGCGAAATAATTTCTCCGTTATTATTCAGAACGATGAGAGATGGTCTTCAGTTGTCTGGTCTACCCCTGATTTGATCCTTCTACCCTCTTTTTTTCTTCCCCGTCTCGAAAGTTTCGAAACATCGGTTCGTTTCAACGTAACTAGTTTTCCGTATAAATTATAGCACCACTCGTCTCGTTAAAAACGAAACGAATACAGCGGGCAGCTCGGTTTTTCACGTCATTTTAAAACGAGAGAAATAAGAGCGGGCGCGAATTATATCCAGCCATGCATTACTTTTACGCGAGGAAAAAGCTGCTTTATCAATGCTGTTTACACGGTGAATTTTCGCAGAACGATTATAACGCGATTTCGTAGAGCAAAATATGCCGGGGTTGCGCGGAAAACGCGGGCCCCGAGAAGAGACAGAATTTCAATGTCCGCCCGGCACTTCCTCGAAACGCATTTGCATCCATAAGCGGACTAGTTGGCAAGCGTATAAAGCGGACCTGCAAGAACATCGTCCCGCGCTCGCTCGTCAGATTTCATCTTCGTCCAGCAACTAATTTGCTCGATCCCTGTCCACTTGTTCGCCTGGCTCCGGTCACTTGCTTGGCGTCGTTCGTGCGTTATCATGGTGATTCAACGTCCAGCAACGAATATGGAACCACCTCGAAGCTCTTACGACGATCAGAGATTCTAACTTTCCTTCGAGATTCACGTTTACGAGCTTCAAAAACGATCGTGATTTATATAAGTATAATATACTTTGTAATTAGCTTGCCTAGTTACGTCGGTCATGGCGCAGAGGGTAGAACACACGAAAGGATGTTTCAGCAAACTACGCGTTCTCAACATGATCGAGCTTGAAAATCGTGTTTCGCGATTGTAAGGTGAAGTTGGTGGTTCGTTGTAAGAGAGTTAGTGATCGACATTAACCCGTTTACAGGTAGATCAACAGCTGACGAGATTCGTATCTCGATGGTGTGTGATTTAGAATGTTTATCGGTGACCCGTTTGCTACAGGTGTAACTCTCGACCCAGATTTCCACCTCCGTGAATTTGCACACGTTCGAGAAAAGAATGGAGAGAAACGAACGAATCTGATAGCCGCGATTAATAATTCGAAATACCGGTTCCATTATCGCGCTTCTTTAAACCAAACAATGTAATACGGTTACAGAGTACGTGGATAAATCAACGAGCAATGAAGGCGTAAAACACATAATAAGCGTTGCTATTTGCGTAATTACCAATTAACTGTTCAGGCAATCGTCAATATTTAACATAATACGCGATACCGTGTAAAACACGTATTCTGTACAGCTGATCTTGTGGAACGAAATACCACCTCGAGCATCGCGTCAGCGATTTTCAATTGTTATTTAAATACGAAGAAACAGTGAGCGATAGGTCGTCGTGGAGAATCATCGGTTCTTCACTCGCAGCTGGCTAACTCATCGCGTCGTAATCGAATTTGCATCCGCGGGGACGGTTTCAGTCGGGACGTCGAAACTTCCGTATTCGAGATAATACGGGGCGTTATCAGCTTCTGACCCGTAAGGTTCGTTAAACTTTTTTTTTCCTTTGGTCTCGCGAGTCCGCGAAATAAATTCTCTCGATCTCGTGGCAAAGAGGGAGAGGATAAAAAGAAAAAGAGCAGTGAAAGAGAGGCGAATGGAAAAAAATAGTAGATAAAGGACAAACGATGGCCAGAGTGGACGAGCAAAGGTGAGATAAATAGCCAAGGATCGAGACTACTCTGGCGAAACGATCGAACGATGCCGCGTTATAAAAGCCTCGCGTCTACAGGATGTGTATTAAAAGTTTCGCGAAGTTGGCGAACGTAATTTAACCGATCTTCCGTTCAGCCGCTTTAGCCGGAGTAATTTTATCGGCGTCGTAAAATTTGTTGAGCGCGACACCCGCCTTCTAGCCAGACGATATGGAAAGTTTGAATTTTCAGCCAGGTCTGCAAAGAGACATCCGTAAACTTCGTTACCTGCGCGCTGTTTTTATCGACGCTATCGGCGTATATACCTTTGGTCCCCCTACCCCCCCTTTCGTTTTCTCCTCTTTTTGCATTTTTCCTATTTTCTTCCTATCCCCATTTTTTCTTCTTTTTTAGTAAAAAAATGTTCTGCGTTCACGGTGGCGTCCTTTGTGAGATATTCGAATGGAAAAATTCGTTCTAATTCGACGTTTAGGCTGCAAAGAGTGTAGACTATAGAGTGACGCAAAGTAACGATTGCTTGTGTAACAATCTTTCAAATGCAAAATAATAGACACTTTTGGTAGAAGTATCGAACAGATAAATACTTCTTCTTTTATAATTCATTAAATTTTGATTCGCATAACAATCGACTTCTGATATATTCGGAACGATTTCTGGTTGAATTCTGTTGGTTTGCCTGTGTGCTGTGTCTTTTATAAATATTGATGTTGCTATTGACCGATCTCCGTTCACCTGGAGGTGATGTCGTGTGGCTTGATTGATGCAGTTTGCGCAGGTACATCATTTTGGTAGCTCAA